ACTATGGAATTAACCTACCACTTTATCCTCCTGTGGCTTCCCTCTCAGGGGAGTGCCCCAGAAGGCTGGTGGGTTGCCTGCTTTGTTGTTGCGGAGGTTGGGTACAGGTTCCTGCAGCAACTTGGTACGTTGACGAGTGTTGGCCAAGTTACCTTAGGCCCCCAGGCACACAGGCAGGAATTCCCTGGTAAGAAGTTGGGCAGAGTATCCCCTGGTGGAGTTTGGCAGGGCTTTCCCCAGCCTCGGGCTAGCTGCATAGGGTGTAGCTCACCTAGCTGGGTGTGGCGCAGGTGTAAATGCCCTAGGCTAAGGGAAGGGTCTGGAGGTCAGCAGTGGAGTGTGAGAGAACAAGAAAGAGACAAAGATGAGGAAAAAAATTTAAAAAGTAAAATCGCTGAGACTGTGCAAGGATATAGAGAAGAGAGGGAAACAAAAGTAACAGTGTAGCTGAACCCCGATCCCTGCCCATGGAGCTGCATGGGTTTATTCCCTGCCCTGAGGCAGGCGGTGGAAAACTGTGGCTGTGTTGAGTTAACCCTTGCAGGCTCCAAATGGTCCCCCCCCTCTGGAAGAGACAGTGGTGGGGCTAAGGTCAAGCCCTAGCCTGCTCCACTGAGATAAGCCAAAAGCCCCCAGCCCCTAAAACCCCTAAAACCTTGTCGGTCTGTGCCTACTTATCTTTATGATAGTCCTCCTGCTTTCCAGCAGCAACTCTCGGGCTGAATTCTGCGGAGTCCCTCTGGTATGTGTTTCTCCGTCGCCATTTTCCCGGAAGTCCCCCTGTATAATTTTCTAAGGAAGCTCTGGTGACTCTGCCAAGTAAGCAGGCCTGGCAGTTCAAATCCAACAGCCACACCATGTGAGACAGGTGAGGCTTTCTGCTCATAAAGATTCATAGTCAACGTTAGAATATTTTCTTCTTTTCTGTACTCACTGTTATTAGCTCCCCATTTCACTCTAGCCTTCCCCAGCATACCCCCAAGCAACCATTAACCTAGTTACTGTCTCTATAGATTAACCTACCCTGGATTTCATATACTGAAAAACATTGGGGTAAAAACACACGCAAGAAACAATAACAAAATAAAATAGAGAAAACCTCAATAAAAAGGAAAAAGCAACTTTAAATTGGGTCCAAAGGGAGATCAAATGATAAGGTGTTAAATTTTAACCTAACTAAATCTGCCATCATTCACTTTCCAATGCACTTTGCTTGATAGCAAGTGTTCACATGCCGGGTCTACCGTAAGAGGGAATTCACCAGAGGCTTAATTCGCTTATATTTCCCCTTTACTTAAAAAAAACCTGAAACTTTTAAATGGGCCAAAAGGCGAAAATCAAGTAAGATACTACATTTTAACCCAATTCTGTCTACTATGATCCTCATAACAATGCTCTCTGTCTGATAACAAGGCTATTCACATTCCTTAACTATGGTCAGATGGGTTCACCCTAGGCTGAAGCTGTGTGTGGAGACTGCAAATGGATTTGGGGCTTCCATTTTGGACCATCGTCTTCTGCAAACCGACTTCACAATTTAAGCTCTGATACTATTCCTTCCTTCGGATTTGGATTATGTTAGTTACAATCCTTGGATCACACAGGCTCGTGTGCCTCTTCCATGTGCACTTACTTCACATCTCACTTTGATGGCTGCTTGTTGCAAGACAAGTCTTTTTATTTATTTAAAAAAATCATTTTATTAGGTGGCTCATACAGCTCTTCTCACAATCCATACATACACCCATTGTGTCAGGCACATTTGTACATTTGTTGACATCATCATTCTCAAACATTTTCTTTCTACTTGAGCCCTTGGTATCAGCTCATTTCCCCCCCCTCCCGCCCCTTGATAATTGATAAAATATTAGTTTTTCATGTCTTACACTGACCGATGTCTCCCTTCACCCTCTTTTCTGTTGGAAGACAAGCCTTTAAGACCCCAGAGAGAACTTGTTGGCCGCCGCCCACTAAGTGCAGAGACGTGTAAACACATTTTATGTGGGGCACACCTATGCCTATATTAAATGCAACTTCACTAGAAGTACTTTTGACTTATCTTTGTATATCCCAATTTTTATAAATTTACTTAGGCCATTTACATATACATAGCAGAAATATAAGCGAATGTTGAATGGTATTTTTCGTCTAGTCTCATCTAATATGTTAGGGTTCTATAGTGGAATAAATATATAAACATAAAAGGATAAATTTATACAGCGAGAAGGAATAAAGCAGCTAATTAGTCCACACAGCAGTAATAGAGAGCTCAGTTCAACTCACTCTTGGTGGAACAGTTAATATAATGAAGTTCCTTCAACTTGACTTGGCTGCCAGTCTATGGTCCAGGCAGCAGACAGTGGAGTCTGCTGTCAGGCAAGACACGCAGAGTCAGCCTGTAGGCAGCAGGGTGAGGCAGCAACAGTCAGTAAGTAGCGAAGGAGCTTAGCGAAGCAGGCCCCTTGGGGTCTTGAGATGGGGTCTCAAGCTCTAGTGCTGTACGCATGGCAACACCATTCCAGGGTTGGCTCCGCCCACAGTTAGTGCAACACAGGGTGTAGCTCAAGCAGCAGCATGCTGGTCTGATCACAGAGACGAAGAGCCAACAGGATGCCGGCCTCAGAAAGCATTTATCTAGGTTGCCTTCCCATCAAGCTGCAACCTGTTTAAACTCTGCTCACGTCTTCCTATCGATGCCTAGCTGGCACAATAAACCTAACTAGCAAATCTAATTAATCGTGTATGATCAACTTTTAACAGTTGGATCTCACAGTGACAAATGAGCAGTGGAAAGGAACTGAGGGAAAGGGTGGTTTCATAACGTGGGCCTCCATGAGCAAAAGTCTGTCTGGATTCAGGAGAATGACCGGTAGAAACAGTGAAAGCTGGAGCGATATGAAGCACCCTCCACCCCCAACCCCAAGATTTGTTGTGGCCTTTTTAATGAGAAATCTGAAAATGTTTCGTACTCATGTTTTCTAAGGAGTTTTTCCGTGAGGGTAGACCCAGTCAGGACCTTTTGAAATGCTGCATGCTGTTTTGTCCCCCTCTCCAGCCAGCCCTTGCTCTTGCTGTCATTACCCCCGCTAGCACACTGTTGCCCAGGCAGCGGTGCTGAGACTCATCCCATGAGAAGGTTGCCCCCATGTCTACCTCTAGAGCACTGGTTGACTAAGGACTTCCGTTGATGCTTTTCCAAAATTCTGATTGGTTCTGAACACATGCTTTCTGTCTACTGTGCACTCAGGAGTTGGACCCCCTGGGCCTCTACGCTAGATTTCATCCTGGCTGGGTGATGTGTTCCTGGTGCATGTGATCATTAATGCCACTTCATTTTCCCAGGGTTTCTTTTCACTGTCTCAGTCTTAACTATTTCAGGACACCATTGTTCAGTTTTTTAGGGGAGGGAGTTAGAGTAGGGAGGAAAGACAGTATATGGCAATATATTTACTCTTGAAAAATGTCCAAGAAATCAGAAAAGAACTAAAATTTTCTGTAGCTCTAAAACTAAGTAGAAAGATTTTTGTTTTCAGGTTGGATTATCATTGCATTTAATAGGTTCAAACGATACTATGTAGCCTTTGAGAGGAGCTCTGGTTTAATTTGTCATTGATGATGTGGAAACCTTTTTTGTCTTCTCTGCCAGGTTTCAGCATTGAAAACAATGGCCAGCCAGGGAGGCCCCAAGTACACGCTCTCCCAGCAGCCTTGGGCACAACCAGGTATCCCGGTCTCACTATTGGGGGTTTCTTTTTCAGGTTGTTGGTGAATTAGGCTCTTGCTCTGAATGAGTGGGGCTGGTTTCCCAGCCACATTGGGGTTCTCAGGTCTGGATTCTTGCAAGATTCCATTTGGAGGTGTCATGTTTTATTTGCCAACACTACTTACATTTCATCAAGCTTTCCATAGAAGGGATTAATAAGAAAACAGACCTAGTTTCAGATAGAAGTTGGCACAACCAGAATGGAATGTCTGAGAATGGTGACACACTGGGTAACTGACATCTGAGTAATTGGGTAGAGAGTGTTAAATGGGATCCTAGTTTGCTGTGTAAAGTTTCACCTTCCAAACTCCAAAAAACAAACAGACTTCCCCCTCATAGTGACCCTATAGGACAGGATAGAACAGTGCCTGTGAGTTTCCGAGACTGTAACTGTTAACGAGTAGAAAGCCCTATCATTCTCCCATGGAGCAGCTTGGTGGTTTCGAACTGTAGACCTTATGAGTTGAAGGCCAAAGCATAACCACTACACCACCGGGGGCTCCCTAAAAGACAGTGTACACTTGCTGCCAGAAGGCAGAAAACCCGACTCTGCTACTGAGGACCCTGGAGGTGCTTATCCTGCCGTCTGCCCTTGTGCTAACCACCCATTTGACTTCTTCTCACAGTTGAGACGCAGACTTTTCAGCCAGAACCCAGAAAGTTCTCGAAGGGTTCAAGTGAGCCTTTGGCACACAGCTTCAGTCACTTTTAAAGGTTAGCTTGTTTAGGAATAGGAGCTGATTTTTATTCTGGGCATTTATGTAAATGAAACGTTTGGGTGTAAGAAATTTTTTTTTCATGAGGAGCTGATGCCAGGGGCTTAAGTGGAGAGCAATCATGTTTTGAGAATTATGAGGGCAATGAATGTACAGATGCGCTTTACACAATTGATGTATATATGTATGGATTGTGATAAGTGTTGTATGAGCCCCTAATAAAATGATTTTTTTTAAAAATTAGAAAAAAAACACACTTTTTTCAGATAGGTAGAATCCAGCGAACATCCAGAGGCACATTGAGTACAGCTAAAGCCAGGGTCCTGATGGGTAATTAGCATATCCCCCTTTCCCCTCTTCCTTCAGACTTGGGATGCTCACTTTGTCCGGTGGAGTCCCAGTAAATTTTCAGATTTGGGTGCAATGTGTTCCCAAGCCATTGAGGATTGTCCCTAAGGAAACAGGAGGCGATAAAAAGACACTGAGGAGATGACTTGCAACAAAGATGGCGACACGGCTCTGCACTTTGTCACTGAACTGTTTCCACTTTTCTACAAGAGAGCTGGGTGGCTACAACTGTGACCCGTCTTCGGGCCCAGAGAGCCTCTGTGGAAGTGGAGTTGGTTTTTCTGGAGGGTCCAGGTGTCTTGGGTGGAGCACGAAGGACTTGGCGTCCCTGTTTTAGAAGCCCAGTGCTCCTGGCTTTCTTAGGGACCATCTCATGGTAAATGCAGTGGAGATCAGGTTCCACATTCGGGTGTGATCTGCCCTTGGAAGGATCTGAGGACCTGTGCAGTAGCCTGTACACATGTCCTCTGGCTTCCGAGGGATTGAAAAATGGATGTAGTCATCTCGGAAGTGTGTTTAGTGATGCTTGACCTAGGGCCCCTGGAATTGAGGTGTCTTGGAGGCGCTTTTGTGTATTTTGTAGGAGCCATGCAGTTCTCGGTCATTCCACAAGCAGGCCCAGGCTAGCTCGCTTCTCTTGAGAGCATTGCACTGCCATCCCTGGCTTGAGCACACCCTCCTCACGCAAACCACACACACTTGCCTGGTACACAGTTGGGACTTTGGAAAGATACAAAACGAAAAATCAGCTCTACTCTCTATCTGCAAAGAAGTCCTTTTCTCAAAAGTAACTACTAGTGACGGTATCCTAAAATTGTTGGTGCATATACCGGCATATATGTATTTAAAAAACTAAAGTTAGACAAAAGAGGTTGTATACACTCTCCACCGTACTCTTTTTTGTATCTAGAGCTCTTTCTGTATTAGCACATCTAGTTCTACCTATTTTATTTCACAGAGGCCTAACGTATAGGGGTAGTACTTAATTCTACTGGTACATACTTCCGTTTCAGTTTTGGGTTTTCTATACACGTTGCACACCATCTTGATGTTTTGTGAGTGTATCCAGAGGGGGCATTTCTAACAGTGGCAGTGTCCAGTGCGGAAGACTATGTCTATTTAAAGAATTGCTAAAAACTGCCTGGCGTTTTCCCAGGAAGGTGGACCATTTATACTCTTGTCAGCAGTGGGTAAAGGAGCCTGGATGTCTTCACTCCTGGTAAATGTTGCCAGTCTATAAAATGTCTCATTGTGGCTTCTTTGGCCTTTCTGAGTCAGGTTGTTGGTAGGTGCCAGTGAGTCTCCTGGGACTCACAGCAACACCCTGTGTACAAGAGAGCGAAGCTGCGTGCCCTGAGCCGCCCTCACATTCCTGTGTCTGAGCCCGTTGTTGGAGCCTTGGTGTCATTCTGTCTTGCTGAAGGCCTTCCTCATTTTCACTGCCCCTTTGCTTTTTCAAGCACCATGTCCTGCTCCAGGGACCAGTCTCTCCTGGCAACATGTCTGAAGTACACGAGGTAAAGTCTCGCCATCCTTGTCTCTACTTCTTCCAAGACGGATCTGCTTGTTCTTTTGGCATTTCGTGGTACTTTCACTGTTCCTCACCAGCACCATGATTTAAATGAATCGATTCTTGTCAAGTCTCCCGTATACCAGGCCCAACTTTTACATGAATATGAGGTGATTAAAAATACCATGGCTTGGGTTAGATGCATCTTAGTCCTCAAAGTAACATCCTTGCTTTTCAACACGTTAAAGAGGTGTCGTGCAGCAGGATTACCCAATGCAGCTCATCTTTTGCTCTTTTGACTGCTGGTTCCATGAGCATCGAATGTGGATCCAAGTAAGATGGAATCCTTGACAACTTCTTTGTAGTGTGTTCTTATTCTGGAACCTCTGCTGGAACCTGTTCACTTTGGGTGACCCTGCTGGTATTGAAATACCTGTGACAGCCCCAGCATCCCAGCCATGCACAAGCCCCCACAGTGAGTGCAGCAAACTGACAGGCAAGTGGTGGGGTCAGGTTGAGCATCTGAGTTTTCCATCAGCTGTTCCTTTTACATTCTCCAGGCTGGTGACTCTTTTCCATGTAGCTAACCAGATGTGACACCTGGGTTGCATAATTGTTCCAACTTGGAATTCTCTTCCTAAGACAGTCTAAGAAAGTACCAGATGGATACGTAGATTCCTCATCGCTGTGCTTAGGCAGGTTTGAATTATCTCAGCAACCACCTTAGTGTCTCTTAGAGTGTGTGCATCAGCTCTGACAATGAATAAGCCATTCATGATGAAGTAGTTCTTTAAAACAAAACAAAATGCCGTCTCTTTTATTCTCAGGAGCCCAGGTGGTGTGGTGGTTATGGGTTGGGTTGCTAACTGCAAAGTTAGAAGTTCAAAACCACCAGCTCTTCACCCGGAAAAAGATGAGGCTTTCTACTCCCGAAAACAGTTACAATCTTGGAAACCCACGGGGATGGGGGGTGGTCAGGCTTTCTACTCCTGTAAACAGTTACAATCTTGGAAACCCACGGGGATGGGGGGTGGTCAGGCTTTCTACTCCTGTAAACAGTCACAATCTTGGAAAC